AACGACATGGTCGTTGGCTTCACTTACCAATTCCCAATCTCCTGAAAACAAAAAAGGGCATTAAATTAATACTAACACCTAATCACTAAAACACGATCAAACGTAATATCTCCTAATGCAAGGATAGTAAAACTCCCTGGATCTTTGAGCTTCGGGGGTAACTTCTTCTGGAGAATGGCGCTGCACTCTCCATAAGCATCACCATTTCCTCATCTTCTAGCTTCCTTTTGTTCGATAGGATTTCCTTAAGGAACTCGCGTGCTCGGCATCTGGGCAATGCATCGCAAAAGGAATGTTAATATGCAATTTTTTAAAATTTCAATAAATTTTGAAACTGTTATCCTGATTTTTTTTTTTCAGTCTTTGAGGAAAAGGCACGGGTGGAGTGTGATGTGCCAACTCTGGGGTATCTTGGGGAATGGAAATTTCTCCTTCTTCTTTTGCCTTTCTTTCTTTCTTATTCTCTTCCTCCAAACCGCTTGGTTTCATCAACTACAATCTCTTCATCAACTTCTTTTCAGATTTTTCTTTCCAGCTTGTTCAACTTCTTCCAAAACTATCCCACTCCTCAAAATTATGGCATTTGGTTGTCACATGGGTTGTCACTGTGTTGCTTGGTAGGGACCCTGGGTCTCTCATTTAGCTTCTTAGCCAATTAGCCCATCTTACTCAAGATTCCGAATGGACGCCCCTTGATTTCTGAAAATCGTGTCCTGTTCATTCATAAAACTCGTGGTCTCCTGCATGAATTTCCAACACTGTCCTCCATCTTTGTCACTCTTGGATCTCTCCGTTGATTCACCCCTGGTTGGTTATTTGCAATGTCTTTTGGTTCCATTGATTATTTTGCTGGTTCTGTGCCCTAAGCCAGATTGGATGATTTCTCACCCGGATTGTATGTTAGAGTACGGGTTGTTTGGTTGCCCTGATTTCCTGCCAAGTAATTCAATTGCTCCGATGATGAAGATGACGAAGCAAATGTGTTCCCCACTTGACACTCGCTGCTCACATGGTTTCCTACACAAAAATCACAAGTTAGTTGAGGTGCTTGAATAGAGTTTACTTGCATACTTCCAACTGTTTCTGAAGTGCCGTGGTTGGGCTGAGATGGCGTGAAGGCATCAACTTCATAAAGACCTGTAGATTTTCTTGATATCATTCTCTCATTTGGTCTTTGATAGTTGTTGCTTGCCAAAACCTCAAGCAACTCATAAGTCTCTCTCTGGTGTCTTATTCTGTAAGGCTCCTCTGAACTGCCTCCACCATGGTTTGCAGTTACCCATCAGTCCATGTTAGAATGTTGGACTTGACTGAAGCCAAACGGGCAACCCATGGTGTGGACATTTCCCCATCAATTTTGTACCTCCCCAGCCTCAACAATGACTTAGATTCATCTTGTAGAAATGATGTGATATCATTTCTCAATTTTGCTGATTTTGCTGGAGGAAAGAATTTGGCGGAACTTCTGTGCTAGATCATTCCATGTTGTGATAGTTCCCAATGGTAGTTAGTGCCATAACCACCCCTTTGCTTTATCCCCTAATGAGAATGTGAATAACCTCAACCTAATGGCGTCATTTGACACTCCGTTCGACTTGAAGGTGTCACAAATTTCCAAGAAGTTCGCAATATGCTGATTTGGATCTTCCTTCAAATCACCATTAAACCTTACCGACTGCTGGATCATCTAGATGATTGTCGACTTTATTTCAAATGTGTTGGCTTGGACCGCTGGTCTCGTAATGCTCGAACCACTGCCATTAACCGTGGGAACTAAGAATTCCCTTAGTGTCCTGTTTTCTGGTTCTTCCATTTCAACAGCTATTTCTTTCGATTCAACCACTATATCCTCTCTTTCTCTTCTCTCTCTGTTAAGTCGTCTGGCAGTTCTCTCAATCTCAAGATCAACAGGAACCACTGGCTGACGTCTTGCTCTTCGCATAATTTGCACAAAATAAACGAAAGAAAGTGAGATCACAAACCAACTGAAAATTGAAAACAAAAATTAAAACTTCAATCTAGCTAACTATAGAAAAACTCAATGTTAACTTAAAACTCAATCCCCGGCAAAGGCACCAAAAACTTGATGCGTGTTTCCTACAACATGCAAATGTAGCAAGTATACTAGTCGCACAAGTAATAGAGTGATGAGTGAGTATTGTTCTCACGAGGATTGTTGCTAAGCACTAAGTTTTCTATCGTTTTCAAGTTGAAGCAATCGAATTCTTTTGGATTAAAGAGAGCAATTTAAACTATAACTAAAACAAAATTTTACTAAAATAACAGTAAACTATGAAAGCAAGATTTAAAATATGGATAAAATCAATTCAAACAAATGGGTAGGGTTTTGACTTCATTCAGACTCTATGGGTTCTGTCTAAAGAATTAAACTAAATTCATATTCACATGCATTGATTGTAAATCGAACTCTTTAAAGTGTCAAACATACCTTCTCAGGCTATGTTTTCCTACTCTTCCCTATTAACCTTCTGCACCCAACAAATTAAAGGTTAATAAATCTAACCTCATTAAGCACAAGAATCCTAGATTGATTTCATTGGTTCTTGAATCTATCTCTAGCATTCTATACTACAATAGTGATTACCCAAGAAGCCTAACATGATTCATTTCTCAATCTCATCATGTTCATCACATATAAACAGTAAATTCAAAGTAATCACACAATCAAAGCAAAATCATATGAAAAGAAGAACAATCTATTACTTAACCTATGAAATTCCGAATTACAATCAAAACCCTAACCCAAAATAGGTTAGTTCATGGCTAAATCAACAATGCAAACACAAGAAACGAAAATACCAAAGTTCAACATAATGTAAACAAGAGAAAAGAAAAGAAATCTCCCCAAATGACGAATCCACTGGTTTAATTTCGAATCTTCACCCTCTTTTCAATCTCAGTTCGCTCAACAATAAATCTAAGGAAATGTAAATAGCTCCAAAAACCTACTTGAAGACCACCCTTGGCAAAAAGACTAAGTTTTTCTTTTATACCTCGCCCATGATCCTAAGAAAACACTAAAAATTAAAACTGTGTTTTACAAAAACTGGAAAATGCAGACTTCGCCGCGGCGAAGAAGGAATCTCGCTGTGGCGACAAAGGAGCTGAATCTGGTGCGTGATTGGTTTATTTTGCCACGACGAAGAACAACCTTCATCGCGGCGAAGCTTCCTAAAGAATTCTAAAATTACAGAATTGCCCTCCGCTTGCTTCTGAGTCCAGAAACTCTAAATTTGTCTTTATTCGCTCAAAATGTCCATTTTAACCTGAAACACGAAATGTAAGGAATTAAATAGCAATTCAGGCAAAAATAAACTAAGAAGTATCTAAAATCTGGCCTAAAAGCTTAAATAAACTAGCATAATCCTTGGATTATCAATTAACCACATAGTCTGACTAATCTTGCACATTTCTTATTCTTTAAGTTATTAATGAACCAGAGAAAAGGTTAATGACTTATTCTAACAAATCTTGCACATTTCTTATTCTCAATGTTACTAATTAACGAGATAATGTGTTAACCACATAATCTAGCCACATTATTAATTTCACTTTTAATGGTTTGTGACATAATTAATGAAGCTTATTTAGGTATAAATAGAAGGACATCTTACTTGTATATACATACATATATACAATGCCCCTCTTGCCATATTATTGCTTAATCTTGTCATTCTACCCTGCATAATCTTCACTTTCCTACTATCATCTATCTTCAAAAAGCTCAAACCCTCATCAAACACATTTCTTATTCTCCAAGTTATTAATTACCTAGAGAAAATGTTAATATATAATAACTTTAAACCTTTTCCCTCAATAAATAGCAATAGGCAGCAACCCTAGATTAAGTGGGTAATTTATACTCAATTACTTTATAAAATTACCAAAAGGCCCCTTATGATAAAATTACCTAAAGGTCTCTTTCACTAAAAAAACCTTAAATCATCTCTCTTGACTCAGTTTATTAAAGAGATCAAAATTTTCTTTACCAATTCTAGATATGATATCTAAAATTCTAGAAATAAGACAATTCATTCCATAAACCCCCAAAGTATTAACCTTTAGAATCCAACCTTCTTTTGGTGTGACCTATAAGTACTCTATAATGTTGATAGTGAACAGAATCGTGATTAATCTACAATTAATCGTCTTTATATTCATAGACTAAGATTGACATCTAGCAAGACATCATAGCTATCTAAATGATAGAAAGTTAGCGCAAGACATATACCTATCAATAGTATGGTTATTGTGCAATCAAATATTTTCATTATATATTATCACATCAAGGTTTGAGGCATAGAAATAGTGTCTACCTCAAATATTCCCTTAATATATATTGGTGTTTGGTTATTGGATCAACGATTGAACTAAATCTGATTAAACGACAACTCAATCTCACTGTGGCCACAGATTTGTAGTCGTTGTCATTTAAACTAACTGCACTATGAGATTACCTCTTTGGTGCCTAGGAGTAATGAATTATTTGTTGATCTACTGTAGCCTTAGTGCACTTCTCAATGTAGTTAATCACTACCATTCTGATAGTCCTAAGGAAAAAAACTACATTGAGCTACTGTCAAACTACACTAATAGGAGCATAAGGCAGTTTAATGATCTCAAGCCTAAGGATCACATGCACTGCCATCTGTTAGACGATTTTTTTCATAGGTACTAGGGTTACCATTTATATAGAATCCTCTGATGGGTTATCAAGTGAGACCTGTCACTACCTTTCAATAGGATCGTTCAACGCTATGATAGTCTTACCGTATTAACTGTGTCTTTGGTCAAAATAATATTGGGGTTATAGACGTTTCTAGAATGGTCACCTCATGAGCTCATAGGGTTCTTACAAACTAAAGTTAAAACATACTTGATCCCCTTATCACAATTCTACTATTCTAAAAACATATATCATAACATATTTGTAAATATGAAAAACAAATATAGAAAATGCCTCTTATTAATAGATAAACATGATACAAGATTTGATTGGCTTTAGGGCACCTATTCTAACAGATGTAATGTGTGAGGAGAATCCGATTTGGAGCTTGATGTAAGTGAGTCTATTGAAGCTGATCTGGATGGAGTAGATTGATAGCCTGTGGAATTACCAAAAACAGATACTTCATTAGTGAAATGTAGCTCTTCTTTGGTAAATAACATAACAGAAGTAAGTTTTTTAACTATAAATACTAGCTAATTAAGAGATGCTTTGCAAATTAACTAAAGAAGTCCAATCCTTCTGCAACAATGGCCACCATTAACGTAGGCATGCAATGCTACTTCATAATCTCCTTATTCATATTCATTATGTGCACCTTTCTTCTTTGCTTTCTCTTCAAAAGGCTAACCAGTTCATCAAGCACCACCCATTTGCGCCTCCCTCCAAGCCCACCCGCTCTTCCTCTCATTGGTCATCTTCATCTCATTAGCCTAACAGTCCAAAAATCCGTCACTGATATCTGCACTAAATATGGTCCTCTTCTCTATCTCTATATTGGATCTATGCCCTGTGTTGTTGTTTCATCAGCTGATGTGGCCATGGAAATCTTCAAAACACATGATATTGACTTTTCTTATCGCCCACAATCTGTTTTGGGGGATAGTATATTCCTGGGAAATTTTGGGATGTTCGCTTCACCATATGGAGATTACTGGAGATTCATGAAGAAACTTTGTGTTACTGATCTACTTGGAGCGCGACACCTTGAAAGGTCACGTAATATTAGACGCGAAGAAATTATGCGACTCTTGAGCAAAATATTGGAGAAAGCTGATAAAAATGAGGTTGTGGACCTGGGTAGTGAGTTAGGGAAGCTTACAAGTAGTGTCCTGTTGAAGGTTGATACTTGGCTGGAAATGCAGCAGTTCAACTGATGTTCAAACATGTTTTTGGCGGTAAAACTGAAAGGCAATCTGCCAGGGGTCCATTTGTAATACTGCAAAGTTTTACTCTTTTTGTAATGCTTGATATGTATCCCAGATTATGTGGGATGTGTTACAGAGTTGTTGTTTAGTTGGTATTAAGTCAGTAGCTTCAGATTAAATTAAGTTTTTATATGTCTGCATGTTTGGTGTAGTAGTGTAAAAAATCTGCTTTATTAGTTGAAGTGTAAACTCTTTTGAACTTAAGAAAATACAGGCACTTTTCTTCAATCGTTTTTTGCTCTCTTTCTTTTCTTAGTTATCTCCAGCACACAAACACTAACATGTCCTTATGAGGATGGTGACGGGTGCAGGATTTTCAGAGGAAAATTGTGAGGCTGGTATGATGAAAGAAATGGTGGTGGAGTCACTAGTGCTGACTATTAAACTTTTGGTTGCTGCAGCACTAGGCCCTTTCAAAATATTAGCGTCCTGGTTGTTTGAGAAACGGGCTAGAGAGATAATTAAATGGTACGATGAGTTATTGGAAAAGTACTTAGAAGAGCATGAAGCAAGAGCAAATGGAGATGGCGACAGATCAGAAAATAGAGATTTGATGGATATCCTCTTGGAGGTTTATCATGATGAAAAATCAGAGTTCAAGATTACCAAAACAAACATCAAGGCCTTCCTTCTGGTATAAAGAGAATCCAATTAAACATTTTTAGTCAGTCCTTTCTTTTCTTTATTGAGAATTAAACATAATAGATTAAACAATATTCCTAAAATATACCTGCAGGATCTCTTGGTTGCTGGCATCAGTGGCACAGATGAGAGCGTAAAATGGACAATATTGGAGCTTATCAACCATCCTGATTCATTCAATAAAGTTAGGGAAGAGATTGAATCAGTTGTTGGAAGAAATAGACTTGTTGAAGAATCAGATATACGAAATCTTCCTTTTTTGCAGGCCGTGGTGAAGGAAACACTGAGAATTCATCCACATGTCCCTATAATATTCAGGAAATCCGATAGAAATTGTAATATCAAAGGCTTCGATATACCTGGAAAAACTCTAACAGTTATTAATGCATATGGCATAATGAGGGATCCTCAGTTTTGGGATAAACCAAACGAGTTCCGCCCTGAGAGGTTTTTAGTTTATTCCAAAGAAGAAGAAGATAGCGAAACAAAGAAACAACTTTTCAATTATTTTCCATTTGGAGGAGGGAGGAGAAACTGCCCGGCTGCATTGTTTTCATCAACCTTCCTGAATGCTGCAACAGCTGCAATGGTTCAATGCTTTGATTTTGAAGTTGAACGCAGTAAGTTTAAACTGCAGGCTGGACCAGAACTGGCAGTGAACTTGTCTCAGAAACTTATGTGTCGCCCTGTGGTTCACTTCAACCCATTTGCTCATGATGTGGTTTACTCAGGCCCGACATCACAAATATTGATCAAGTAGTAATTAATTTTCTTTCAAGTGCTAATTGTCTATGTTGATGCAGTGATACCTTGCTGGAAATGCATCAACATAACAGGTCTCAGTTTGAACTTTTTGGAACCAGTTGAAGTTAGTTTTCTGCAGTTGGTCTGACGTGCATGGCTGCAACCTTTTAGTGTATTTTTGTTAAATAGCTTAGGTGTAATTAAGTCATGTAAATGATGCATCTGGTGTATGATTTGTTAGTTGTTAAAAGTTAAATTCAAATATGTAATCCTCTGCTGTAGTTGTTGTAATAGTGTGGTTTGGTTAAGTTTTGTATATATTGTCAGTCTAAATGAAAATGAATAAAGACTTTTTGCATACAAGTTTTGTTACTTCATTTTCTTTTCTTTGCATTCTCCAGCGAAGAACCATCAAATGGTATCAGAGCTACCCACAGAAATCTAAAAACTTATTGCATCCTACCATCAACCACATCTCAAGAGCACCTTCCAGTTCAGCTAAAATCAGCCTGTATCTGCTCACTTTCTTTCTGCGAAAAAACACAAAAAATTGGGAAATGGTAACTCAATCTGCTTTGATGGCACCACCGGTGTTTAATGGGGAACATTACCACATATGGGCTGTTAAAATGACGGCCTTCCTCTGAGGTCAGGGGCTGTGGCAGTATGTGGAAGAAAATAGGTAGCCAGCTCCATTAGGACAGAATCCTACTCTTAATCAAATGAGACTGCACGAGGAAGAAACAGCCAAGGCATCGAGAGCTCTCTCTCATATTCATGCAGCACTAACTGACCTTGTATTCAGAAGGATCGTGGCTTATGAGACTCCAAAGGAAGCATGGGACAAGCTGAGAGAAGAGTACATGGATAGTACTGACAGGCTATTCGCAAGTGTACGAAATCGTGCAAGTAATAAAGCTCGAGTAAACGAGTGTCGAATCCCAAGGGAACTACTTACCAAGTACCAAACTATTATATTCTATTGCTATTTGATAAAACATAATTTTAAGAATAGCTTTAATGAAAAAGTAACAAACTAAAAACTAAATAAATACAGAATTTGTAAACACTTTGATGTAAAGATCAATATGACTAAATCTAGGGGATAGATTTCACACCAATTTAATCCTATGCATTGACATTTATTGTTAACCTAATTAAGCATATTCTAAAAGCCAAATTCCCTAATATTCCACTAACTTTCTCTTGAACAATTAGCAAATTAACCCTTAAACAACAACCCAAGATATCTCTAAGTTGGATTTAGAAGCTAGGAGATCATTAAGTTCTATGGAATTTACCAGAGTCTCACAGACCGCGGTAACCTATCTCTAATGTTCACTCAATCTATGGTTTTATTACCTTAGACAAATCAGGTTTTGTCTCTCGATCTCAACCCAACCCATGATATCATTCAACTCTCGGGCCCTTGAGAATTGAAAGCATTATACACGATAATAAAACTTAGAATTAATGCTCAATATAAAATCAACACAATAACGTCAACACATATTCATAAATTGGGCTACATCCTTAGCCCTAGAAAAGAGAATTAGTTCATAATTGTAATAATAAAAACCATCATTCTATGCAATAACATGAGTTCAAGAAAGAAAAATATAAACACTTCTCTAATTGGTGAACGAGAGCTTCAAGAATCCTAATCTCCAAACGAGTAGCCGTCCTCTCTTTTCCTCTCCCAAAAACTCCCTTTTAACTTCTTAAAGACCCTCTTTTATATCCCTAGGGTTCTGGTCATACTTAGGAAAAAGATTAAAAAATCTTAGCCATTCAGATTCGGATTAGGATAATGCATTAACAAACACCCGTGACCCATCGCCGCGGCGGTAAGAATAGTCGTTGCGATGATCGTTCTTTCTATCCAAGGCATCCGTGATCTTAGAATTTGGCAAAGTTTTCAACATAAAATTTGTAGCTCTCTGAATAAGCTTTCCAACACCACCAAAATCGTCAAATTTTGATTTCTACAGCTCAAGTTATAATCAAAACAGCGAAGCATGCTCGTCTTGAGAATTTCCAGATTTTACGTTATATCTTTGATGCGTCACAACTTTCTCATTCCAACTCCGATTCTTGTGCCGTTTGTTCCTACGCATCATGAATTCCATCGACATCATTCTTTTCCCTTCACATATCTGTTTGAACTTGAAAATACTTAAAATATACCCATGATCCCGTAAAAAGTATTTATGAAAGAATTTATTTAAAAATCACAATTCAACCACATTTTTCCATAAATAATCAAATTAAATCACTAATAAAATATGAGTAATGCTACAGTTACTGACGGGTGTGCACCAAATGACGTGGCTAAATCCTGACCGTTGATTTATTATCAGTTAATATTAATCAACGGTCAGGATTTTGTCAGGTCATTTGGTGCACAAATTCGGTGTAAACTTTTCGGTAACTCTATCATTTTCCATAAAATATATACTTTCAAGCTCTTATCACAACCCCCAACCAGCTTTTTGCTAGTCCCTAGCAAAATAAGCGATAAAATAAGTCTCTAAGCTTGAAAAGAAAACAACTAATTAAAAACCTAAATCTAAACTATCCTAAATCACTTTCGTAGATTGACACGATTGCATTTAGCGTATGCAACAAGCTTTTAAACCCCTAGGTGGCCCTAGTTGGACGAGTTGTAGTCTCGTGAGGGTTTCCAACGATGATGCCTACAAACATCCACACTAAACTTATCCTAAACTCCAAAAGTAATGAAAAACATAAACATAAAAAGAACACACTAACAAAAATTCTTGGATCAATTCATAAAGCTGTCTCAAAAATTGCTTATACACAAAACAAATAGAATAATTAAAAATCACCTAAAACTTACAGGCAATGCAAACATCAATTTCATTTTCGTTATCGACCCTAGAACATTCATACAACCACAAACCATTAGTTTACAAACTCGGATGGTTTTATGCACAACATTCATGAACAAAATTTTGATCTCAGTATTCGGGTTATGACTTATATGTGAATCATGGAATCAAACTCTATAGGCTCACTTTTCAAATCACTCTCCACTAATGTAGAATTTCACATCACCTTGTATCAATAGGTCTTTGTAAAGGTTGTAACGTTAGGCTGGGGTACGAGTTCATGAAGGAACGAAAAGAGAAATTAACAAAAATAAAATTAAGAGACTTAATTTTTATTCATTCTTATAACTAACATACACCACACTTCTCTTTTTCACTCAGTAGCTTCCCAATCTTTATCGAGCTCTTTCTTTTCGATAGTAATATAAACCCAATTGAGTAATTCCAAATCTTCACAATGCTTTTTAATGCCCACTTTTTATTTTTATTTTTATTTTTTAACGTCAACATAAGAAGAAAGTATAAAATACACACATCCCCACTGATCTTACAAGCACTCCACAACCCCCAACCAATTTCTTCGCATAAATCTGGGTTGTGGCAAAACTACACTTCCTCACCAATACTCATACTAAGCTTGAATAACAATTAAGTCTCTTAAGGATAAAATGCGTAGGATTGTGTTTTAGGCCCATAATCAGGATAGGGTAAAAATTAAGTTCAAAGAAAGAAAAACAAGGGTAAATTGTGTTTAAAAGGCTCAAAGGGTTAACTAGCGATGACAATAACAAGGGTTGGCTTGAAAGGCTCAATCAGTCCAAAAACAACCTAAATCATTTCCTAAGTGATGAGAATTCTAGGATTTCGCCTAGAGTGATTGTCAAATGAGTTCTAGAGTTTGTTGAGATCACAATAATGTTTATGGAAAATTCACACATAACACGTCTCAAAGTAGGTAACTGAACCACTTTCAATCCACAATTCACTAGGGTCTCAACTCAATGTCATTAATATTCACACACCTCCGTAAGCAAAGGTAAAAATTAATGTCCTCCATTAGTTCTATGTTATTGCAATCACATTCTTATCATAGACATATGACTTCATCCAAGAGACAAAAATAAAACTCACAACCTAAAATAAAAGAATAAATAAAACTGCTCTCTAAATCCAAAGAAAAAAAAAAATTTGCTCAATTTAAGTTCCTTAAATTGCTACCCCCAACCAAAAAGTTAACATTGTCCTCAATGTTAAAGAGTAGAACCAAGAGAAAGAAAATGCTACCACATTCCTCAATGTAATAAGGCTGTCTAGGTCGTATACGCCAAATTCGTTCTAAAAACAAACAAACACTAAACAGAACTTGTCGACCATCATTGTTATGCAGAAAAATTAATGAATATAAAGAGCATTATCAATAATGATGCAATAAGAGCTCACAAAAACTTAATGACCAAACAGTAACAACAAAAAGAAACAAAAGTACATCAAAACAAAACAAAACAATAAAACAACTACACTGACAACATAAATAAAAACACAACAGAACTTCCAATCTACTCCTCCATACTCTCCTCAGACTCATCATCAAGAGCATCGCCTTGCTTCTCATCCGCTGGGTATACAAAATCATTCCACTCACACCCTGGTGCTTCTATCCCAGCATGAGCAAGTTGTAATCGTTGCATCTCATGTTGCACTCTCATTTGCCCACTCATCCACGTCATCCAGGCTTCTTGATGATTCTGTAACTTTTTCAATTTTTCAATGTCTTCATTCAACTTCGACAATTGATCTCGTTGAGATAGCTTCTTGAGGCTTTGGCCCTAAGTGCTTCTACTCTACCCCCACTGGTAAGATTTTGCATAAATTGCATTATAAGACACTCCTTGTGGGATTAAAACTTCTTTGGCATTCAAACGCACTTGAGCTTGCTTACACACTTCAGTAATCATGTGAGGAAAGTAAAAACCAGTCTTGTTACGCTTTGCCGAATGGGTAATTTCTTGAAAAATTATCTCACCCACATTCATCCTCATCTTGTAGTGGATTGCATAAATCAAGATTGCCCTATTTTTGTTAACAGTGCTCATATGCTTTGAGGGCATTAATCTAGAATACACAAAATACAACCACATGTGTGAAGTTGAGTCCAAAAACTTACTTTCAAAATGGATGTGTTCCCCAGCCGCAATAAACCATGTAGCTTTCCTTTCTGTCAGAAAATTAATCATTGCATCATAGTCCACGTCTTGCTTGTATGCGGCATAGGCATCCTCATCTATCTCAACTTGCGGTAGCCTATAAAACTGGTTAATAGCAGCTGCCGTGAATACTACCTCTTTACCCCTTACCATTGTCCTCCCATCAACGCTATCAGGAATGTTGGCATATAACTCTGTTAGCACAGAGGCAACAGTAGGAGCCGAGGGTTCTTTGC